TCTAGCAGGAACATCACAGATTACTGAGCACACTGTAAGAAAGGGTCTTACTGTTAACACCAAACCCACTGCTTAATGTTTTGAACTCGCACACCAGATCCCTCAAGTACTCTGATAATCACTGAGGCTTTGAATTCCCACACAAAAGCACAATCAACACAGACTTCTTTGTATAGCTTTGGAGTAATCCCAAAGTGGGTCAGAACTGTACAGCAGAGCTTCTGAATGTAGGAACACTGTCAATGTTTAATCGTAGTTTAAGACAATGATCAGTGGGAACAGCTAATGATAGTTTTCCAGTTATTTTCTAGAACATGTTCATTATACCAAAATAATAAAATGAACCTCTAGCCAGGTGCCAGCATCAGTTTTTTTAGTTCTATAGTCTTTGTAATAAAATAAGTTAAATAAAGTGGTTAGTACTGGATTATAGGCCAGATTTTTGGGGGGCAGTGGGGAGAGAGAGAGAGAGAGAGAGAGAGGGAAGTGCTCAGCATCCTGATAGCTTGTTGGATAAAACTGGTCAGAAATTTGATAGGTGCTGCATACGGTTGCAGTGGTTCCTCTCTCTCTCTGGGTGATGAGCTTTTAGCATTGATAACAGAGCAGACAACACAATCAAAGAAATACCAAAACGTAACAGCCACTCAAACACCCCATTAAACCATCGTTTGGAGAATCTTCTGTGCCACTATCATAGCTATCGGTCTCCCTATTTAAGTCACTATCACCATCGATCTCTGACTCATTATTCTGTAAATCAGTGCTGTTTGGTGACAGATCTGAGCTGGAGTGGACTGGGCCATAATCCCCAAGGCTACAGTCCTCATTCAACGACTCAAGCAACTAGCTGACCCTTTGCACAGCACTCCTCCATAAATCGCTGCATGCGGTATTTCACTTGTCTACTCTCCATAATTTTCACACCACTTTTTTTAATCCTTAGAAGTTTGTTTTCTGGACAGAGGCTCTGAAAGGGAGAAGAACGCGGAAGCTGAAAAACAGCCATTGTACTACCAGCAACTCCCTACACAGTGAGAGCACATAGCATTACATTCTAAACACCACGCCCCCTGGGGGGAGGAACAGATGATGTAAATCAACTTTGCAGTATAGTAGTCTTTTTCAATGACTACTTTGTACCCTGTGTCTAAAACAGAGCAAAAGGTACGAGGCAAATCGATAATTTAAACTGTTACTGTGATTAGCAGATACCTGAAGTGTAGCTTACCTTAGCTTCGTGCTTATTACAGCCCTTTAAAGCTAATTTATACTTATGCGTGGCTTATGCTGTTGCGAGCATTTATACTCCATTTATACTCCATCCCTATGGCGATACACATCTCGATACATTGCCAACAATTCGATATATTAAAGACTCATATGAAACACTGACTAATGTGATAGGACACGGTTCACCCCGATTGCGACACAATTCAACGCGTTGCGATGCAAAACAATATAGTGTTTTGCAATTCAATATGGTACAGATAGTGTAATTTTATTTCTTCCGTTCTTCTTAAGCAGACAGCAAATAATAAATAAACTAAAAAATGTGTCATTTTTACTTCACATATTTGTCTCTGTAGTACTGCAACTCAGTAAGCATATTGTTTATATATTGCATAAACATCATTCTATGTTAATAATTAGGGTTTTACTGATGCCAAACTTTTACACAAGATGCATACCAAGGTCATCCCAAATTGTATTTGGTGCACTTATTTAATATGGACACATTGTGAACTTTCATGCCAGTGCAATGCGAATTGGTTATAGCTGGTTTCTATGTATCGATCTGCAAATACAAATATGTATATATTTTTGCTCCCTGTGTCCCTGGCTGGATCATGTTCAGTTTTCTTTCCACTAATTAACTTCACCTGCTCCTTGTTGCTCCCAGTTCCTTATAGCCCCTTGTCAGTCCTTGTTATCAGTGTATTTCAGTGCCTTCCTTTGTTCTTTTCCTCAATCAGTCATTGTACTTGTTACTGAACGTTTGTGTGTTTGTCTTTGTAGCTGTGCCCTTTCCTTTTTATATGTATAATTGAATAACTAAAGATTAGACTATGTAAATGTGACATTTGTAGTATAATAAAATTATATAGTATAATACAATAGAGGGAAAACAAAATACAGAATAAGTCGCTTTAATATCTCTTACATCAATGTAGGTATAATGTCTAACACTTTTGATAACACGAAGATTATGCCATGAAAATGTTAAAATCAAACATTCATTTTCTAGTCAACGTGAGCAGAGAAACAGCACATTTCCCTGCCTGAATAACGGTTAACGTTAGGCCTTGTCCTGCAGCAAGTTACCTTGGCTCATGGGAGTTTTACACAAAATTTTTCTGAGGACAGGACGAAAAATTATTGGGTCAGAAAGATAACCAATCACATTGTAGAGGAGGTGGGTCCAAGCAACTAGAGGAGACGGGACCAACCAATCAGATGCAGCATCTTTGCAAAACATTGGCCCAGATCCAGTTGCTAACCGGGGTGCCTGTTTTGGCTAAGCATGGACATACTTTAACGTATATGGTACTTATCCTTCACAAAGTCAGTGCTAGGTTGTGTCGATAATTGTGTTAATGGTTAGTATTTATGCATGAAAAATACAGAAAGCCTGGAGTATGATCCAGACAGCATATGACACAAAATCTCAGGGTCAGCTCCTGTTGTGTCACTCTGTGTCCCTTCCCCCGTTGTCCTAGTCAGTAGTGTTTCCCCGCTCCCCATTGGTCGCATGGCTCAATGAGCTGACCATTTGGCTACCTGTTAACCACTCTGTTGTGTGTGGAATCCCACCTCCTTTGTTTTTGGATTTTGTTACCAGCACTTTGGTCAGCTGTTATTCTTGTTTTTAAAGTGCTTTATAAATAAACTTGACTTGACTTGACTAGTGTTTCATTTGTATGAGTTTTCTTGTTCCTGCGTCTTGTGATTTGTACTTGGTTTTGGTTTCGTTCTTTGTGCCCCTGCTTGTGTCTTTACCTGTCTGTAATTCCCCATTGTTAGATACTGTTCCTTGGTTAGTTCTTAGTTTCCCGGTTTAGTTCCTTTGAGTAAATTAGTTTCACCTGTGACCTGTTTTCCCAACCTTGTTCATTAATCTCACCTGCCCCTTGATAGTCTTGATACCCCTGTATTTAAGTTCCTGCCTCTGTTTTAGTTCGCCAGTGGTTCGTTGTGATTGTTGATGGTTGTTGCTGATGGTCTTGCTGCTATTTTTGATTCCCTGCCCATTTCCCTTTGTAGATCATTTAGTTTTGTTACTTTATCCCCTTTTTAGTTTCGACCCCTCGTGGTCTCATTTTCTTTTTTAGTGTTTCCCTGTATTCAGTCATGTTAAATAAACCCTTGTTGTCTCGTGAACCCTGCACTACTGGGTCGTCCACCTTCCTAGCTGGTCTCGCACCAAATCTGCCCGGATAAATTAACTTCCTTCGGGATTAATAAGGCATCTATCTATCTAAGGTGTGGAGCTTTCTGTAGGCCTATTTAACCAAGGACCAAATTTTCTGTAAAAATTAATTAAACCAGCAATACAGTGTAGTTACATAACGCCAAGCAACCACATATCAGAAAATTTAGAGAAACCCCACAATGACACAAGCAGAACATGTAAGCTCCACACACATAGATCCAGAGCAGAGACTCAAACTCTGGTCTCTAGAGGTATGAAGCACCACAGCAAGCCACTGTGCTATTGGGCCACCCATGAAGCTGAATATTTGCTCTAAATTATAACTCTTCTTTGTTGGTTTTAGCAAACAGGAAAGGTCCAAAGGTCCAGTTGCTTTCAGATATCTTGTGTCAACCAGAACAGGGTCACCGTGTATCGGGTTTTTCGCCGGACACGTCCTCGTTTTGGGCCCCCTTCCGGGTGTCCAGGTGGTTTTTCAAAAATCGCCGGGTTTGACCAAGTTTAGTGCTGTAACCCATGTGACCCAGTGTTGCAAGTTACAGTGGAGAACCAAGTGAAGGAAAAGGCTCCAAAGTTCAATATACGGCAGCCACTCAGTATCATACACGGTGTCTGCAATTAAGGCTCGTGCACACGTCTACTTTAAAAATTAAACGTGCACATGCTTATGTCACACTGCTCACGAGTGACGTTAGCTTTCAGAAACCATTGTCGCGTTCACACTTTTGTATTTGTGTGAGCAGTGAACCTCGTCATTTGCTTGAAGTTTAGCAGACTTTAGCTTAGCGTTCCATAACTTAAACATACAGCTTTTCTTCATTTTTTTATTGTAAATTGCTCATATTTTACAACTACAATTGTAATGCAAAAGGCATTTTCCTTTCATTTATATTTGTGACATTTTATGAGTACCCTCTGTTTCGTTTCACCAAATATGGCAGCGCTAAACCAGAAATATATTCATTTCGAGCACCAGCCAAGCTGGTGCTGAACACCTGACTTGTATTAATAAAAACTAATATGTAGGCCTATGTGTATGTAGGGCTATTTCAAACATCAAATATAGGACCCATTATTCTTTTCATTGTTTATTTTATTTAAATCTATTGATATCAATATGTAATTTTTCCAACAAAATGTCAATATGGCGATAGGGATCTACGTTTCATACGGTTTGAATTCAGCCCAAATAGCCCGGATAGTTAAGCCTATATCGTTACAATAACGTGTCCTTAAATGCAAGAACAAAACTTTTGGCATCACCGGTTAATGGAGGGTATCTGTATACAACTAGTTACGGCTAATTAACGTTTAATCAAAAAGGTTTTGATTGCCCTTCAACATTTTACATTGCTGTTGAGTTAATATTGCCCTCCGTATTTTAAGTAATTGAGAAAGCAACGAGTGCCAGTATTAGGCTGAGTAAGCATTTATGGCTCGAGCTTTTGGCTCGAATGTAAATCTAAATATTTGCATTTGCTTTAAGCGGATGCCTTTGTCCTAATTAAGTGACGTACAAGTGAGACATATAGCACATTAATAGAAAGGACGCAATGCTGGGGAGTCTGGGTTGGGGAAGTGTTGTTTTATTTTGGTGCGTACAGCTGAGGAGGAGGAGCACAGCTATCGGGTGTGAAAAGGCGGCCGCCTGGGGAAGGACAGAGATTCGGCAGATGTGAAGCGAACTGGCCGCGAAAGACGCAATGGGGACTGCAAGGGAGCAGGAGACCCTACCGATCCCTCCTGCACTGTGCACCGGACTCTGTGTTTTCAAGACCGGGCTGCGCTAATTCACTTCTTAGGTTTTGCGAGTGACGTGTAGTTTGCACGTCAACTTCTGTTAAAGGCAAAAGTTTTTTCTAAAACCACTAATATGATGAAATTTATATTTTACAGTTCAGGAAAGGGTCGAGGTTGTCTTTCTCGGCTGTTTTTGTTATTTTAAACACGTGCATTTTCAGACGCGCCGTTTCAGCTTGACTGCAGTACTTGACTTTTTAAAAGTTTTCTCGATAATCTTGTTTATTGTCGGAGGGGTTTTGAAGTACCGCCGCAAACCCCTAGGTCCTCATGCATTTGTCTCAGTGGCATTTCATGCTGGAAAAGTGCGGATCGGCTCCTTGAAACCGGACTGACGGCCGGGGGACATGCAGAAGCGGGACGCCGTCGTGTCGCTGAGGGACGCCGAGCTTCAAAACCGGCTCACCGGCGGTGGGGGAGACGACGAGGCACCGAGGCAGAACGGCACCGGGAAGAAGCATGCCGTCGCCGCGACCGATCTCGACCCTATGCACAAGTCACCGTGCAACCAGAGCAAGATGCTGGTGGGCTTGGACATCCTCTGTCTCTTCTTAGGTAAACATCTGGTTACTTTTCAGGATGACCCGCCTGTACCGATCACAGCCAACGCCGCTCTTAGCTTGCAAACCCCATAGTACTAACTTGTGGTTTGAGCATTGGTTTTCACAGAATTACTTCTGTTCCTTAAAACAAATATAGCCCACTTGCACACACAATTAGGCTACTTCGTTTTTAAATTCTGCCGAAGTGATTATAAGTAATAGGGCCGTAAGAGAGGACCCACTTGGTATCTGAACTTTTTATCTTCTGGTTCCGACTTCTCTTGTCAACAGTTTTTGGACGAAACTGTCATCCCTATTTATTTTGACTATCTAAGTTTCTGTATGCGATATGACTTAGTTTTGTCTTTTAAACGTAGTTGAAAAGCAATCTGCTTTTTTGCGTGTTTGTTACAGGCAATTATTCCTTTAGATCAGGCAGGATTTGGGGTGGGTGGTGATCAGCCCCCTTGTTTTTATGCATTTTCGTGGCTGGTCTAGTAATTGAAGAAAAGCACGCCAGGAATTCTCCCAGAGCAGCCGTGCAGAGGGCAAAATTGAATCCTCATGAAAGTCTGCCTTTCATGGGAGGGGGGGGGGGGAGGAAAGAGTCCACCGCCTCCATGCATATTGAGAGTCCATGCAGCCCAGCTTGTAAGGTGTCCGGCTGGGAGGGGGGGGATAAGCTCCGGTTCCTATGGCGACATCGAGGCGCGGGGAATTATGGGGAATGCAAATAAATATCCCCTCTGTTCAGAAATCCCATTTAAGCGCCGCATTATCCAAGCCAGGGCCGCATCGTTTACTGCCAAATTTTCTGCAGTGTTATGTAAGCTAATTAGAGAAATCTGCGAGGAGACTTGCGTTAATTTCTGTTCTCAGGGGCAAAGAAATATGTGGACGTGTTTGAGGAATCCCACAGAAGCTTCTGGAGGGAAGCAAAACAAGATGCGTCGCCACTTAATGCAAAAACAACGTTTTTGTTTCATTGCAGGCGTACGATTGCTGTTGACTTCGGAGTGTAACCATAGCTACTGGAAGAAACCCTGGCAATAAATGAAGCAGTTATACTTAGAGAAGTGTCGGCAGGTATAGGATGGGGGTTAGAAGGAAATGTGCGGCGGCGGCAGTGAATGGAAAGCCACAGATTAACGCGTGGTCGCCTCTCTGGGAGAATGGTTACATAAAAGCTTAGATTACTGGGAACCCGTCGAAGCAGCCAGGCAGGTCCCTACAGGGGCAGTTATGGCCCTGCCGTGCTTCCCAAAGGCAAATGGGATCACTTTCACCTGCCTGGCGTGGCTGCAGTCTGCCGCTGGCTATGGCATTAGCAGTTAGCGGCCGTGACTCACCGCCATGCGCGGACTCTCCCATTCAGAAGTTCAGCTCCAGTATAGGTCATGGCTGTAATCCAGCCTCCTCAGGTTCGGCCCTGGCCTGAGCGAGTGACAGGACGTTGGCTGTATGGGATAGAGATCCAGGAGGCTTATGGCATTGGGTATGGCCAACTGGTCAACGAGGGCTGAGCTTTCAGGTTCCTCCACACCTCGTATTTAATCAGTGTATCTTTTCCCCTGGTCTTTAAGCTCACCCTGGGTGATCGCAGGTTGTTTAGTCATTAACCTAATGGTTCGCTCACCGAAGCAGTGTTTCCACCTGTTCCAAAGCTCAGCTGTTAGCAGGGGTGTAGGAACTGGGGGGGGGGGGATGGGGAGGGCATGTACTCCCCCAATATGTAGGATGGCTTCATTCAACCCTCCAATACATACACATCTTTATATTTAAATAATTATGTTGTCTCCCCCCCCCCCCCAATTTGAAAATTCTCCTACACCTTTGGCTGTTAGCTGTAAGCAATATCCAAAGCCCCCTTTTTGTGATTGGTCATTTCCCATGCCGGGTTTGCTACCAAATTTGGACATAAACACCAACGCAGGTTCCGCATATTCTTAGCCAGGATGGGGTGACCTCATCACTCGGGCCACAGCATTGCCATGACCTCTCTGTTTCCACACTTCCCTTTTTCTCTGCCCCCCCCCCCCCGTCACCTTTAACACCAGAGGATGGGGGATTTGTTTATCGTGATGCCACAAGAATCAGTG